CGAGCGGCAGAGGTGTTTAGTCATTCAGCCCAGAAGGTGGACAGCAAAGAGCAAGTGGAGCTTTTCTTTTTAAGCCCACGTTTCCCGATCCCGACTTGGTTCAGAGTGCCAGTTTCACCGCCACATCAGCGGTTGCACATCAGCTCTGTTTTTTCCCGCCTTCTGCAAAACAAGCTGAAAAGGTTCCACCGAGATTTGAACTCGGATCGCTGGATTCAAAGCCCAGACTGCTAACCATTACACCATGCAACCACCTCACGATGGTCCCTGGCCGTCTGAAAGGCAGATAGCGTTGAGGCTAGGTGTAATGAGGTTGACGGAGGTGGCGTTTGGTCAGTGGAGCCGTCGACCAAAAACACGGTGACCAGGCTGCTCTGCCGAAACCCGGGATTGAACCAGGGACCTTTAGATCTTCAGTCTAACGCTCTCCAACTGAGCTATTCGGCCGGGTCTGCTGGAAAACGGTTTGTCAAGCAGGCATTTCTGGAGACCGCCCGTCACTTATAGAGAGGAGCGGAGCTGAAGGTCCCAGAGAGCAAAAGCTTGGCCCGTACGGGGATCGAACCCGCGACCTTGGCGTTATTAGCACCACGCTCTAACCAACTGAGCTAACCGGCCCGGCCCTGACTGGTTTCTCTCAAATTCCTCAGAAATATCCGGTTGCCTAAGTCAGGCGAAGAGATTAAAAGCAAAGCCTAAGAAGGGCTCGTCCGGAATTTGAACCCGGGACCTCTCGCCCTAAAGCGAGAATCATACCCCTACCAACGAGCCAACACAACATCCTTTCTGCTACTGCCTGGCCCCAATCGTTTCCATTTGCGAGGCTTAAAGCACAAAGTTTCATTAAATGTGCAACTAAACGGTAGCCACGTGCAAAGTTGCCGGCACAGAGGAAATACGGTCTTCTTTGCTTTGTGGCCACGCTGCAGCACTTGCACAGACAAAAGGGATCGCTCCAGGCCGTTGTCTTTGAGAGCGATGGACACCTCTCGCCACGCCTCGAGGGGATTAGCTCAAATGGTAGAGCGCTCGCTTAGCATGAGAGAGGTAGCGGGATCGATGCCTGCATTCTCCACACAGATCAGCTTTTGAGGATGACCGCTGTGGAAATTTTTTTTCGGACCAGGTACTGCGCACATTCCTGTCAAAAGCAGGGTCCCACCGAGATTTGAACTCGGATCGCTGGATCAGAGTCCAAGTGCTAACCATTACACCATGGAACCTTGGCGGCGGGTGGCTTTTTCCCACCGAGCGCCAGAGGTGTTTAGTCATTCAGCCCAGAAGGTGGACAGCAAAGAGCAAGTGAAGCTTTTTCTTTTTAAGCCCACGTTTCCCCGATCCCGACTTGGTAGAGTGCCAGTTTCACCGCCACATCAGCGGTTGCACATCAGCTCTGTTTTCCCGCCCCTTCTGCAAAACAAGCTGAAAAGGTCCCACCGAGATTTGAACTCGGACGCTGGATTCAAACCCAGACTGCTAACCATTACACCATGCAACCACCTCTACGATGGTCCCTGAAAGGCAGATAGCGTTGAGGCTAGGTGTAATGAGGTTGACGGGAGGTGGCGTTTGGTCAGTGGAGCCCGTCGACCAAAAACACGGTGACCAGGCTGCTCTGCCAAAACCGGATTGAACCAGAGACTTTAGATCTTCAGTCTAACGCTCTCCCAACTGAGCTATTTCGGCCGGGTCTGCTGGAAAACGGTTTGTCAAGCAGCATTTCACCTCACGATGGTCCCTGGCCGTCTGAAAGGCAGATAGCGTTGAGGCTAGGTGTAATGAGGTTGACGGGAGGTGGCGTTTGGTCAGTGGAGCCCGTCGACCAAAAACACGGTGACCAGGCTGCTCTGCCGAAACCCGGGATTGAACCAGGGACCTTTAGATCTTCAGTCTAACGCTCTCCCAACTGAGCTATTTCGGCCGGGTCTGCTGGAAAACGGTTTGTCAAGCAGGCATTTCTGGGAGACCGCCCGTCACTTTAGAGAGGAGCGGAGCTGAAGGTCCCAGAGAGCAAAAGCTTGGCCCGTACGGGGATCGAACCCGCGACCTTGGCGTTATTAGCACCACGCTCTAACCAACTGAGCTAACCGGCCCGGCCCTGACTGGTTTCCTCCCCAAATTCCTCAGAAATATCCCGGTTGCCCTAGTCAGGCCGAAGAGATTAAAAGCAAAGCCTAAGAAGGGGCTCGTCCGGGATTTTGAACCCGGGACCTCTCGCACCCTAAGCGAGAATCATACCCCTAGAAAAACGAGCCAACACACACATCCTGTCTGCTACTGCCTGGCCCGCAATTGTTTCCATTTGCGAGGCTTAAAGCAGAAAAGTTTTCATTAAATGTGCAACTAAACGGTAGCCAGTGCAAAGTTGCCGGCACAGAGAAAATACGGTCTCTTTTGCTTTGTGGCCACGCTGCAGCACTTGCACAGACAAAAGGGATCGCTCCAGGCCGTTGTCTTTGAGAGCGATGGACACCTTCTCGCCACGCCGTCGAGGGGAATTAGTTAAATGGTAGAGCGCTCGCTTAGCATGAGAGAGGTAGCGGGATCGATGCCTGCATTCTCCACACAGATGAGCTTTTGAGGATGAGCGCTGTGAAATTTTTTTTCGGACCAGGTACTGAGCACATTCCTGTCAAAAGCAGGTCCCACCGAGATTTGAACTCGGATCGCTGGATTCAGAGTCCAGAGTGCTAACCATTACACCATGGAACCTTGTCGTGGTGGCTTTTTCCCACCCGAGCGCCAGAGGTGTTTAGTCATTCAGCCCAGAAGGTGGACAGCAAAGAGCAAGTGAAGCTTTTTTCTTTTTAAGCCCACGTTTCCCCGATCCGCGACTTGTTTCAGAGTGCCAGTTTCACCGCCACATCAGCGGTTGCACATCAGCTCTGTTTTTTCCCGCCCTTCTGCAAAACAAGCTGAAAAGGTTCCACCGAGATTTGAACTCGGATCGCTGGATTCAAAGCCCAGACTGCTAACCATTACACCATGCAACCACCTCACGATGGTCCCTGGCCGTCTGAAAGGCAGATAGCGTTGAGGCTAGGTGTAATGAGGTTGACGGGAGGTGGCGTTTGGTCAGTGGAGCCCGTCGACCAAAAACACGGTGACCAGGCTGCTCTGCCGAAACCCGGGATTGAACCAGGGACCTTTAGATCTTCAGTCTAACGCTCTCCCAACTGAGCTATTTCGGCCAGGTCTGCTGTAAAACGGTTTGTCAAGCAGGCATTTCACCTCACGATGGTCCCTGGCCGTCTGAAAGGCAGATAGCGTTGAGGCTAGGTGTAATGAGGTTGACGGGAGGTGGCGTTTGGTCAGTGGAGCCCGTCGACCAAAAACACGGTGACCAGGCTGCTCTGCCGAAACCCGGGATTGAACCAGGGACCTTTAGATCTTCAGTCTAACGCTCTCCCAACTGATCTCTTTCGGCCGGGTCTGCTGGAAAACGGTTTGTCAAGCAGGCATTTCACCTCACGATGGTCCCTGGCCGTCTGAAAGGCAGATAGCGTTGAGGCTAGGTGTAATGAGGTTGACGGGAGGTGGCGTTTGGTCAGTGGAGCCCGTCGACCAAAAACACGGTGACCAGGCTGCTCTGCCGAAACCCGGGATTGAACCAGGGACCTTTAGATCTTCAGTCTAACGCTCTCCCAACTGAGCTATTTCGGCCGGGTCTGCTGGAAAACGGTTTGTCAAGCAGGCATTTCTGGGAGACCGCCCGTCACTTTAGAGAGGAGCGGAGCTGAAGGTCCCAGAGAGCAAAAGCTTGGCCCGTACGGGGATCGAACCCGCGACCTTGGCGTTATTAGCACCACGCTCTAACCAACTGAGCTAACCGGCCCGGCCCTGACTGGTTTCCTCCCCAAATTCCTCAGAAATATCCCGGTTGCCCTAGTCAGGCCGAAGAGATTAAAAGCAAAGCCTAAGAAGGGGCTCGTCCGGGATTTGAACCCGGGACCTCTCGCACCCTAAACGAGAATCATACCCCTAGACCAACGCGCCAACACACACATCCTTTCTGCTACTGCCTGGCCCCAATCGTTTCCATTTGCGAGGCTTAAAGCACAAAAGTTTCATTAAATGTGCAACTAAACGGTAGCCAGTGCAAAGTTGCCGGCACAGAGGAAATACGGTCTCTTTGCTTTGTGGCCACGCTGCAGCACTTGCACAGACAAAAGGGATCGCTCCAGGCCGTTGTCTTTTAGAGCGATGGACACCTTCTCGCCACGCCGTCGAGGGGAATTAGCTCAAATGGTAGAGCGCTCGCTGCGCAAAAGATGGGGTCCAATCTTTGCGCCCCGCACGCAAGCGAAAAGGACGCAGAAAACGCGAAAAAACGCAGAATTTTTTCCTGCAACAATATTCGGGCTATATTCCTGTACGTTATTGAAGAGTTTTAGTTACATGTGAAACAAGTCACCCCCCGCGGGCTGGGCTCGAACCCGTGTTCTGCGCGACTAGTGCGTGATCAACTGCGCATGCGCCTTAATTTGGTTGTCTATGTGACATATCATTATATTGATTGATATTAATTGTGTATATTATTTTTTTTTTTTTAAAAAAGAGCATATTACATGTTTATGGTTTAATAAAACTAATACAAATGTTTATTCAAATATGTGTTTTGGGATTGATTGATATGATTTATCTGATTTATTTTAGGACACTTCAAATGTTTTATACACACAAATGCATACAAATATCGAAATGTAATTTTTTTTATTAAAATGAATAAACACAGTTTGGACATTCCAGGGCAATTAAAAGCAGCACAATGAATAAGAGTGAAATGAACAGTATTTATTTACTAAAACTACAAGATATTAATGAACAACAATAAACAACTAACAATGTAGAAATAGAATAGAACATTCTGTAATATAAATAAAACAAACAAGACATTACAGAAAGATAGAGAGAAAATGAACATAACCGTATTTACACATAGATATTTATTTACAGGTATTTACAAACTATCTTTTTTCTGTGTTGGAAGATTATTTTTATTATGGAGGTGGCTGTTCAGGTTTTTTCTGCTGGCGCTGTTCTACCAGCCACTCCTCTAAAGATTTGCCACCAGAGACACTGGGGCAAAACGTGGCACTGCCGAAGCGGCTATGGCCGAACTCCTTGGTTTTGGGCTTGCCACACTTAGAGCATTTGTTAAAAGCCACTTCACGGACATATTTCCTTTTTTGCGCTCCACTGGCCTCCTCTTCTGCCCTGCGTCGTCTGTTCCTCTGAGTGAAGCGGGAGACAGACACTGGGGCAGTGGGAGCAGGAGCCTCTCGCACGTCAGGAAACACTGGAGTTGGAGCCAGGAGAGGAGCAGCTGAAGCGCCACCTGCACCAGCTGCAAGCAGTGTGGGCGCAGTGTTCAATAAAATGAACTGGGGCAGTGGCACAGGAACTGGGGGAGGAGTAGGAGCTGCTGGGATAATTGGCCGCACAATTGTAGCACTGGCAGGTCGTCTGCCCGGCCGTAGCTTAGGAGCCTGTCCCGCTCTGTTAGGAGGAAGGACAAACTCGTGCCGGGCCCCTGATGTGGAGGGAGCCTCATCCAGCTTTTCCCGCGGAGCAGGCAGCTGTGAGCTGGCCACAGCTATGCGGTCTTCTGCAGCAAGGCCCTGGGTAAGGACAGTCACTTCCTGGGTGTTCTCCCTTCGATTAAACCTGCAATCAAAAAATGTATTCATAATAAATAACTGCTATCCCTTTCTTTCAAATGTCAATGTAAAACCATGCTTACCACTGAGTGAGAGTCCTCTGATTCAGCATAAACAGCTGAAGTGACGTGGCCTCCATCAGAGTTTGGCAGTTCAGCACCAGGTCTCGGATGTGGTGGTAATCCGCGAGCACCTTAGTCCAACGAGGAAGACGGACTCCATCCTTCTTAGTTGGGGACTTGTGCAGTGCACACAGTTTGATGCACATGCCCTCAACTAAGCGACTGGTGCTGGGCCACTGAGCCGGCCCCCCAGGATGACCAATCAGGCACCTCTTCACACTGTCCACACCCGGTGTCACTCCTGTGTTTTTCGGAGCCTTGAAGCGTCCGTGGGTCAGTTTGGGCTGGTGTCTGGGCTGATAGTGGATCTTCCTCTTGTCCCCATCAGGAAGAGCAGTCCACAGACGGATGACCTCTGTAACCTGCTGCTCGTCCAGGTAGAGTGCCTGACGGAGGGACACCAGGTACTCAGCCAAATCCTGCACCTTATCCCAGCCTGCAACGCCATCGGGTCCAAGAACAGGAGCCTGCAGGTTATTACAATAACAATACACAGCATGTTAAATGTCAGAGTGCAAAAGCAAATAGAAACTAATAATGAGAAGCTTACTTACAGGAGCCTGGTCTGCAACACTGGACCCAGTTGATGTTGCAGGAGCAGAGGCAGCACTTGGCTGGACAGAAGGCTGTGGAGGAGACTGCAGAGGAGGGTGGGCAGGGCGCAGAAGCGGAGACTGCAGAGGAGGGTGGGCAGGGCGCAGAAGCGGAGACTGCAGAGGAGGGTGGGCAGGGCGCAGAAGCGGAGACTGCAGAGGAGGGTGGGCAGGGCGCAGAAGCGGAGACTGCAGAGGAGGGTGGGCAGGGCGCAGAGGAGGAGACTGCAGAGGAGGGTGGGCAGGGTGCTGCAGTCCTGTGGGTGGATGTAGTGAGGATGGTCCTGGTGCAGAGGGACAGGGGTTGAAGGTCTGGGGGCTGCTGCTGTGGACTGGGACAGGCTCAATGGGGTCATAGAGGACTGGCACTGTGAGGTCCTCAGGTTCCTCCTCAACAAAGCCTTCGTCCTGCACCACCTCATCAGTCATCTGCTCCACCAGCCGATCCTCCTCTTCTGGGTTATCCATAACAGTCAGGGATTTCCCAGACTGACTGTACAGATACTCCATACCCAGCAGCTCCCCTGCAAAAGAACACACATACAAAGCACATCACATTATACAAAGTTTATCACATTATTATAGCTGTAGTGGCTATTTGTCCATAACAAACTGAAACAAAAAAACAATCAAACTTTTCAAAGTTTGATCGTTTGTAGGCTTGATACAGTTTAACAGATCAATAAATGAAAATAATATACAAGAAGATAATAAGCATAAATGCAAAATAAAGCAAATTCACTTTAGCAAAAGAAAGCAAAGAAATAAGTCTAAAAAGGGTCAAATTAAGCCTAAATTAAACAAAGCACAAATAACTCCACCAATAGTTGAATTATTTGAAATACAATATAAAAAATGTACACTCAAACACTCATACCCCTGTATAATGTATAATCTTTTGTTTGAGTTAACATGAATAATTCTTACCTGTGTAAGCCCCTGGAGGCTGGTAGCGGTCATCCAGGGACACCTTCAGCACTTTGCGGCTGAGCCGGTCCATTGCCTCCCTCTCAATGCTACTGTAGATCCTCAGGTCAGTCTTTCCCCTCACTGCTTCATCCATCCGGTCCTGGTTCCAGCGCATCAGGCCTTCCAGGAGATAGGCCTGGAAATGCGCATCACTGGCACTGGTCCCTACAGGTCAAATAAAGTCAAATATATGTTACGTATGTATTCAGTATGGCAGAATAGGTTATAAAAGTTTAAAGTTTTTTGCAGGTTATAAAAGTTATAACCTACCTGGGATGAAGCGATTTAAATGGAGGTGGAAAGACTCCAAGGAGGTGGAGCCACGAGCACAGCGATAGCAGCTGAGCTCCACACCACCCTTCTTCAGTGTGTCTGTCTTCTGGTACAGAGGGAAGCCCTCTGGGTCCTGAATACAGGCGATGTGCCTCTGCTGATCTATCCAGACCTGTTGGATTCGCTCGTGGTCCAGCAATGGTACACCCAGAGTGTCCCTCCCCTTCTCACTGTCCATCTCATCAATGAGCGCCTTGATCCTCCAGGTGGTCTCCTCCACTCCTCTGGTCCGCTTCCGACAGTGCAGTGCCAACTCCTTCCTGGTGATCAGCTTATCCAGAGCCTTCTCTGAGACTGGACCAGCTCCTCTGGCCTGTAACTCCCCCTGTTTGGCCAACCGTAGAGCAGCGACATCATCAGGATCCAGCTCAAAGATGCACCTGGAAAGCCGAGCCATGAAGGTGCCGTAGAGCTGATGAGCCTCCGTGATGACACCTGCTGCAAAGCGCCGCATGAAGTGCCAAATGTCTAGGCGCACTTGGAGCTCATCCCACTCTATGAACATGGCTCTGACCTGCGACTGTCTGTGTGCATGTGGACTGCAGCAGTCTCTGTCCACATACATGATGGCGGGTGGTGCCACTCCCGCCTCCCTGTACCTCTTCATGAGACCCACCGCCATGGGCCACAATCCATGCCCCTCTGCCGCTGTGAGGACTGACACCAACACCTGGCCGTGCTCATTGCCAACATTAGTGCACCAACCAGCAGTGTTGGCAGCAGCGCCGGCCAGTTTTTTGGTGACCTAAAAACAGTAGAACAAAACAATTGTCAGAAAAATTTAAGATAATAACAATTATTATTACTCAAACTTCACTTTTTATACCTTTTTGGTGGAGTCCATCTTGAGGACAGAGCCAAAGACTGAGGTTATTTTGGCCTTGACCTCAGGTAGCCGCGAGAGGACGTCCCTGGCATACACAGACAACAGCCACTTGGGTTTGGGGATGGGTGGGAGGGGCGGGGGCGCAGAAAAGAGTGGAGGCTCAACAATGGAGGAGTCTGTGAAGGGCTCACAGACAGTGAGGTACTCCAGCGTCCGCTGTGACCACGCTGAGGTGTGCAGCTCCTGCAGCTTTTTGAAAAGCTGTGTGACACTGTTCCCCCGGGTCCTCTCCCGCATCATTATGACTACACGGTAGTCACACGAGTACCTACAGACAGTCAAATAATTATGTTCAGTGCCACATCTTATTATTTCAATGTCAGTAAAGCAACGTATTTGATTTTATACAGTACAACAAATTACAGTGCATTGCTCTAAATACGAATGTGTTCTACCTGTATGTCAGAATGGCGGGGAATTTTCTGCGGTGTCCCATGTCGAGCTGTCCCAGGATGTCTTCAGACCAGGCTGGATACTTCTTCTTGCACCCTTTGCACTCCAGATACTCTGTGGCCATGTCATACCACCCGTCTATGTCCAGGACCTTGCGCACAGTGCGATAAAGGCCAGCAGCTGTCAGCTTGTGGTTATTGCAGGCTGGCTGGACACAGACAAGTGGAATGGACCACATCTTCAGCGGCATCCAGAGGAACAGAGGGCGGCAGAAGAAAATATCAGGAGAAGTAGGGGGCTGGGTGAAGACGGTCGGGGGCTGGGGAGGGTACCACCAGAAGTTGGGATGTGGCACCAGCTCAGGCTTCCCTGTTTTTACGTTGGCCCTGAACAGAGTCTTCCTGATCCAGTCCTGCTGGAAAGATGGGAGTTGCTCTTTCCAGTGGACAGGAAGCTCTGCAGGCGACTGGGACACCTGGCCAGGGGTCCACAATGCTGGAGGAGCAGGATAGGGGGCAGGAGCGGGAGCAGGAGCAGGAGCAGGGCCTCTCGAGCCTGCAGTGGCTGGAGCGTAAAAAAACACAACAAAATTATCTTATTGTTTTAGACTTTCACTGCATGGCTTTCTCAGCTCTGCTGGACAGCTACTGCGATTACAAGGTTTACTGCAAAGCATGTATGATTAGTAGAGAGATGACATGATGATGAAAAGATGGAAGGAAGCAGTGAAAATAATCCTGTTTTTCATCCAAGCACCATTAGAAGAAATACAAGAAGAAAAAAAGATGGGATCAGTGTGAAGCGTGAAGCGAAGCAGACCAAACACTACAACAGCCACTTATTTCAAGGGGAGTGGGGGAAGTGTGAGATGACAAGAATGAGCTTTAGTCAGTGATTATGATAAAAAAAATGAAATAAAACCTTTTACATACAGTACACCTTTAAATTCTCTTTTTTCCTTTGAGGATGTTCACTCAAAGAGTGAATGTAGATTGACACCTGAGAAGTGCCATTCCTCTGTGTTGTGAAATAAAATAATATGATATGTCATTTAAAAATACTGTTTTGTTTTATTTGTAGTTGTTTGTAAAGTATTGTTTAAGATTAATATACCTTGAGGAAGTTGTTCCTCAGCTTGCGAGGCTACAGTTGCCATCTCCAGGTCATCTTCCTCCTCAAAAAAATCCATAGCAGCAGAGTCTGTAAAATAACATAAAACACTAAGCACATGTCACCAACACACTTGTATGTGTTAAGTGATACTCACCACATGTAAAGAGCTGTCTCCGGGCTGCGGACTCAGACGCAGGAGGTACACGTGGTCCTGCAGCTGTTGAACACGTATTTTCGTCACACATATATACTGCATAATATATACTGTAATGATTTTAAAGCTAGCAAATTACTTACAGGGTTTGGCTGGAGACAAAATCTTTTGTGCCAGCAGTGAAGCAGATAAATGCTTCCCCCGCGCCAACAGGGCCTTCACATTGGTTGCCGGCAGAGGCCTGTTCTTAGTGGCAGTAGGTGGAGGAGGAACAGACACAGTGGCAGTGGGCACAGCAGCAGTGGGGACAGATGCAACGGGCACAGTGGTGCTGGGCATGTGGGCTGGAGCCTGCCTCTTCAGCACGTATGCTTTGAAAAGGGCCATGTTAGTGTTAGGCCTGGCCTTTGCCTTCTTCAGGTAGGTGATGAGAGCCTGGGCCTCCTTGCTTGGGTCCTCATACACCTCCTTCATTGACCTACCCTTAAAATCCCCAAACTCCACCATTAGACATCCAGAGTCTCCTGTCCTCTGGGCCTCCAGCAGCATGGCCTGTTTTTTCTGATACACCTCCACAGCATCGCCAACCTCCCTGATCTGCGAGGTGTATCTGAGGAACAGGTGTTTGTTGGCCGACAGCGGGTTGTCCCTCTCCTCCTCCCTCAAAATGCTGCTGACCAGATAGCAGGCATACCCCAGTGAGTTCTCCAGCAGCCACAGGAACCTCTGACCCTGGTGTTTCCCAAACTGGATCTTGCAGTGAGCCAGAACCAGGAACTGGTCTCCAGGATTCCCTCCATTCTGCCTCACAAAGGCAGTGGCCTCAGCCAGGACCTCCTCCTTACTCCTGGCCCTCCCTGCCAACACGATCTCCCTACTATTGGCCTCCTCAGTTGGCCCCATAAGGAGTCGACCCTCAGAGGTTCTTCGTAAAACTGGGTATGCATACATTATCTGAAAGGACTCAGGCATAAACAGAACGTTACATAGCTGTCATATTCCAACTGAAAGTATTTTACTACAGTATTTGTTTTTTATGTAATTAATTATTATAATATTATAATAATTAATGATTATTATTATTTTGTTCATAAGCATTATTGTTGGTTTTTATACACAACTGTGAATCACTTTGAATTGCCTTGTGTACAAATTGTAAATAGTAAGATTAACTTATTAATAAGAAAATAAATAACACTTCTTGGTACAATCTTGCTGATATCATGCCATGCTTAAATGGTTTTGTTTTATTTAGATTTTGTGGCAGAGATTACTACGAAACACAAAATATAACATAAAGGCGTATATGACAATTCATAATAATATGATCATCAAATAGATCAAATTGAGAATTATTTGTATCCTGAAACCTAAAAAATTATATTGGTGATTTAAAAAAACAAACATGTTTTTGCCTATTCATATCTTTTTAAATATGTATAACATAGTATTTAAAAGTATAACATAAATATGTATACTGATGTATAACATAGTATAGGCTAGTATAACATTTATGAATTAAACGTTTTTTTTTTTTTAAGTTTTTGTATAAATGTTCTTGTGCTCAAAATAATGTAATGACACAAAAAATACTAAATGAACAAAAAAAATGGTTTAAGGAGGATATAGCTTAATTAGCGGTCGGCTAATTATCTTGACAGTAGTTACATGTTTTTTACTGTATTTATCATGGAAAAGTTGCAGTTTCATATGTACAGAAGAAAACGTGTGCTATTACACGCTAAATAGCTTTATTGGCATGTTTAATTGTCTAAAAATACACACTGTTTATAAATAAATAATGATCGATTATACAGTCGTGAAGAATAGCCTTACCTGTTGCGAAGATTGCAAAGATGACGATAATAATAGCGGTCGCCGATTGGTCAAAAGTAAGCCACAGGAGCAGAGCCAGGAGAGAAACGCGATTGGTCAAAAGTAAGCCACAGGAGAGAAACGCGATTGGTCAAAAGTAAGCCACAGGAGAGAAACGCGATTGGTCAAAAGTAAGCCCCAGGAAAGAACGCGATTGGTCAAAAGTAAGCCCCAGGAGAGAACGCGATTGGCTCACGTGGGCTTACTTTGGGCTTACTTTGGCTCAACCGGCAGGATGCAGCAGGCGCAAGAGAGAGGTAGCGGGATCGATGCCTGCATTCTCCACACAGATGAGCTTTTGAGGATGAGCGCTGTGGAAATTTTTTTTTTCGGACCAGGTACTGCGCACATTCCTGTCAAAAGCAGGTCCCACCGAGATTTGAACTCGGATCGCTGGATTCA